GGTGATATTTAATGCCTGCTAAGTTCAGCAAGGTGAGTGTTTGTAGGAGGATGGATAGAGTTGCAGATGTGGGAGTGCTCAAGCGATGAGTACGAAGAAAATGTGGAGGTGCGGTATATACTTGTTTCAATATTTAATTCACTGTAATTCACGAGAGGCGCAAGGATCGTGAGAGCGAACGCGATCCATCTCAGAGAGATAACAGCTAACAGTGAGCTGTAAGCGGTAGCGGTAACAGGCTGTTAATCTGGGTTGTTAACAGCGCTGTTACTCTGCTCGTGCTGCCCTTAACAGTGAGTAATAATCTCTGTGATTACGAGGGAAACCAAACCAAACGATAAATTCTGACTTATATAAAGAGTTAAACTAAAATCTTACTGTTGCAAGGGAAAACTATAAATTGAACATAACTTGAGCAGCAGCCACTTAAGTTTCAGCCAATTACCGAAACCCATTACAGAGCCCTCAGCCATAAATGGCATCAAACCAAATCTATAATCAGAACTTAAATTTAAGTATAAATATACGCGTAGCCATAACCTGAATTGAACATTAAACCAAAACGGAAACCAGAACTGAAACTAAAACTAAAACTGAATTAATGTTCTAATCAAGTTTAACAACTTGGGCCATTACCCTTACCCCCTTACCCCCTTACCCTAACCGCCCCCCTTTGGCCCTGTCGACCAGCCGCTTTATGAGAAATGTGCAGAGACCCGCATAACTGGAGCATATTATATTGATTTATAAATTTTCGCAAATTCCGCACGAATCAGCAGCAAACACGAACGAACTTCTTATGAGGCAAACTTTTATGCCTCTCGCACATAATTTTGCAGCCTACAACTAACTATCTAAGAACGCTTGGAGCAACGGACAGAAGCAGAGCCAAAGCCATTGCCAGACCACCCACCCCACCCCACCATTCCAAGGCCGCTCTAATTGCATTTAATTAGCTGTTCGTCCTCTGCGTCTCTTCTCACTTGCAAAGTTGGCCCCATTTCCCTGGGCCACGTCCCCCCCATTGTTGATGTCCCCGTGAGAGTCCAAGGGTCTTCGCTGCCATCCCCGAAGAAGACGACAACGGCAACGGCAACGACTGCGACGAAAAGTTGACCGACATAAATTTCATTAATTAGTTGAAAATTTGCTCCGGCCCACAACCTTAGTGGGAGCAACAATTTTTGAAGATTTGCTAATGCCACTGGGGCCATTTGCTACGGCCCTCTGCGGTCATTAACCAAATGGGTTTATGGATGCATGATATGAGAGCCAAGAGTCGTGCCACTGCCACTGCCACTGCCACAGCGCTTGCTGCTGCCCCTGCTCCTGCCACTGCGCCTGCCTGAAGTCCGAATAATGAGCACTTATTGAGGGAATTTATCCGAAAGAAGATCAACCAGAGTTTTGTGGTCAAATATGAAAAGTCGTCCTGTTGCTGTAAATCCCTCTGTTATGCTGTGGCCACAAGTTTAACCCACTTGCAACCAATATTTGATGCTGCTCCGAGTTGCCTCGACCTCGAGACCCTTTGCTGTGGCTGCTGCCTGCCACCCGGATCGTAGACTGTGTGGACTCAAGTTGCAGGCGAAAGAAACTTGGCCAACTTTAAGCAGCCATCATCTTTAAGCCCCCCCCGTCCGCCCGTCTCCCCAGACAGGACTGGACAGGCGCTAGGCTACGATAAACAAACAAACTTGTCTAATATTCCACTTTCCTGCTTTATTTCCCCGCTTGCCACTTTCCTCAAGGATATACCGGATATAGTATAGCAAATTTCGGGAAGGAAACTCCGTTACGGCGATTGACAAATTCGGGGCGACGAGCAACGAGCCACCGGAGGATTGGCGAATGGGGGGATAAATCAATTGAAAAATATTAATGAATTATTTATGAGCTAAGACAGGACCGGCTCGGGTCTGGGAGCTCTTCTCAAATAAAACAAGAAAAAGGAAAAACCAGAAAAACCAGAAAAACCGAAAAAAACACCCATGGGGAATACCCCCCAAGCCGCAAGAGGAAATAACCACAGAGTAAAATAAAGAAGGAAAAGCTATAGCCAAAGCTAAAGCCAGAGAGCCCAAAAAGAAATAACTGTAGAAAAATTACGCTAGAGACTAATAAAACAAGATTATTGCGGTATAACCGCAGACAGTTGGTGGGAAAAGGGGAGGCAGAGAGAGTGAGAGAGAGTGAGAAAGAGTGAGAGAGAGAGAGAATGGCAGCTGGGGTGTTCGGGGGAAGCCCAGAGCTAGACAATGAGCCAGCCATAAATCAGTGGAACGCAGTGGCCAGACAGAGGCAACTGCATACAGTTTTTGGGGGGCAAGGGAATGTGGAATGGAAATTGTGGGAAATGGTTGGGGCCAGACTCCATCCCAAAAGCCAACTCGCACGCATTTAAGCAGTTTCCCAATCACGAGAAACGAGTATGATGATGATGTGCAAGATAATTACGCCAATATGGCCAGAACTATCCAGCTGGAAGCGTAGACAGACAAACAGACAGACAGACGACAGGCTTCTGCCTGGCAGACAGCCTGCCGGATGGACAGGAACAATGTGGATCTCTCTCTCGCTCTGGCAGCAGCACTGGAAAATGTTCGTGTAAATATTAAATATTGACCAGCTCGGAATGGTCGAGCTGCTGCTGGAGAGATGCATTCCGCATCGAGAATTGGAATTCAATTTCGTTTGACACGTTCAGGCAAATGCAGAGGAGCTTCCACAAGAGCTAAAGGCAATCACTTCGAATCACTCTGATAGATAGAGAGAGAGAGAGAGAGATGGTCAGTGGGGATAGCACGAGACAGCAGATATCGAAAGCGACGAGGTAGGCAGATACGGGGGAATACAGAGGGAGAGAGAGAGAGAATTGGCAAATATTGTCCGACCATAAATTGTGTGAAATTCCGTATAATTTCGCCAAATGTTCAACTCAAATTAAGAGGTAATATGTGCCAGGAACTTATTCGAGCGAGACTTAAAAATTCAAAGTTAATTTCAAATATTCAATAATTTATTTTAGTGAATATTCAATTTGTAAATGTATCTATAATTTTCAATTGAATAGTTGCTTTAATGGGGCGTTAATTTTTGTTATTGAAAATATCAACTCAATTTAAGCAGCTCTTCAAATCATAGAACAAAGTCTATGCCACTCAATAAATAAAGTGCAAATATTATTGATACGCGCAGGCAGCAATAGAGAAGTCAATAATTCAATAGAACAGACAATCATTTAATAGAAGAGTCAATAATTTAATTAAAAACGTCAATAATTTCATTTTCCTCTGGGCGTTGGCTTGTCAGGCTTGCTGGGACACAACGCTAACAATTAGCTTAAAGTTGCAGCTATTGATGTGAAAAAATGTGAATGTATAAAAATCTCACATTGCAATAGATAGGAAGAGTATTCTATGAGTGAATGCAACGAATTTCATTTAACTTTAATTAAGTGAGATATATATATATGATATCTCAGTTCTTTTTGATGCAGATAGCTTGTAGCTCAAGGTCACTACCATTCCCTTTTACTTTGCATCATGCGGCAGAAGTCAGGCCATCAGTCAAAGAAAATGTGGAAAACTTTCTTATTTTAAAATATATAAAAAGAAACTCTGAGATATGAATGCAATCAATCTTCTTTGATTGATTCAACTTTGATGTGTGACTAGTGGTTGTAGTATACGAGTTTGCTGACTTTTTGATTAGTTTCTCAGATATACAATCACACATATATATGATACAAAATATACAAATATAAATGGATGTGCATGTGTTGTATTTCATGTAAATTATCGATTTAAAATTGTTTCACTTTTTCACAAAAAAATATAAATATAAATAGATATAAAATCAATCCATCTGGGATTCACTTACACCAACTTAAATCCAAACTAGTTGGAAATACATCAACAATGTGTTGATTTTGCAATATTGCAATCATCCATCAAAATAAACATTCACTTATGTACGTACATATGTATGTGTGGATGTGTACATCCTGTTTAATAAATATTCCCATTCAGCTATAAATATTTTGTTGCGTACTAATGAAAAATGTGAAATATTTATGAAACACTTGGCTCAACAATTAATTATCATAAAACTGTTTTTACAATTTATGTTAAACTTTAAACGATCCATATTATACGTTGTCCATCGAACTGCATCCTCATAAATATAAAACAAAAAGCCCTTCGCTCGTCAGGCTATGTTTTTATGCACAAAATTAATTATTAACAAATTGTTGAGGGGAACAAAAATGAATTTCTCATGTTTCAGATGATGTTGCCTGCCTGCCTGCCCGCTGTTGCTGCTCTTGATGTTAATATTGTTGCTGGTGCTGCTGCTGATGCTGATGCTTCTGCTGTGGCCCGTTGTGTGCAATTTGTGTATAATACATTAAATGCAATTTGAACTATTAAAAGCATACTTTCAGCGCCATTCGCATGTCGGACATAACGGACGGACGGCGGCCATTTTAGCTATTTTCCACGCACGTTAACATAATTTGCATTGCTGTGAAATATTCCGGAAACAGCTAAAGTATGCAATACAAATTTTTGCCCCCACTCATATATTTCTCCGTGCTCTTTAAACATAAAACATAAAACATAAAAACGGTTAGCTATTGGTTGCGAAGCTCTTGATACCCTGGATGATCTAATTTACATTAATAGAGGTCCCATGATAGCTATGTGATGCGCTTTATGTATGTATGTGGTTTCCATTCAATATACATACTATATACCGCCTTCAGCCTGAACGAAAGCTGTGTGAGATGTATCAGGAAAAAACTTCAAGGAATTTACATACACAAATATGTAAATTTGTTTTCTCTGCATAGCAAACGAGTAATAATATTCATGGCAACTTTTCTATAGGGTATCAAAAAGGTTCAAGTAGCCTCTACACAGGAGTGAGAGAGAATGAGTAAGCGAGAGAGCGATTGAATGGATGACTGGTTGTGTGAGTGAAAGAGCCAGAGCACTTACCGTTATAGAATGGCCAGAGTAGCGGCTGCTGCTGCTGCTGCTGTTGTTGCTGCTGTTGTTGCTGCTGTTGTTCCTGTTGCTCTTGATGCCCCTGTTGTTGTAGTTGTTGCTGCATTATGCTAACAACTAACGCCATTATTATAATAACTGTACGCGTTGCTCTTGCTGCGGCTCTCCTCTTGGTGCCTGGTGCTCCCGCTCCCACTGCCGCTCCCTCTGCCACCTCCACTGCAGCTCCTACGCTTTCCTCTGCTACGCTGCCGTTGATGGCAGCTCTTTCTGTTGTTCTCTTCCTGCTTACGCCCGCTGCTACTGCTAGTGTTTTCGCTGTTGCTCTCTCTGCTGTTTTTGGTGCTGGTATTGCTGCTCTTGGTGCGACGTCGACGCCCGCAGCTTGGCCTGGGTTACGCTCGGCCTGGACGTCGACGTCGACGTCGTTGTCGGCGCCGCAGCGACGCAAAAATTCGCATAAATTTATATTGCAAATTTGTTTCCTTTCTTGTTGCTGGTGTTCCTGGTGCTGCTCCTGTTGTTGCCCCCGCCCCTGCTGCTGCTGCCCCTCCTGATGCCGCTGCTGCTTCTCCTGTTGTTTAACAATAACTATTGCCGCAGGCATCCAGCGAGATTTAATAGTTTTCGCCTGTCGTTGAGTTTTATTCGCCAGTTTTCAGATGATTTTCCCTGCTGCTGCATTTAAGTGCTGCCCGCTGCTATTGCTGTTTGCCTCGCTGATGCTGATGCTGCTGCTGCTGCTGCTGTGGCTAGTGTGGTTGGCACTGCTGCTAATGTTGCTGCTGCCGCAGTCGTGGGCGACTTTAGCAGCATAATGCGCCATTTGTTGGTTCTTTAGCTTTCGGCCTTGTTCCCGTTTTCACTTTCACTTAAATTCTTTCAATGGATTTTCAATTTGATTGTCAGGAATTGTGCCACACGGAAATGTTCTTTAATTCAAATCACGATGCTTAAAGCTGCAGAAACCAAGGGTACACTGATCCAAAAAAAAAAGAGATAATATGTAAGGGCTAATTCGATGCTTAATTGAGTGGCTGGGGAGCGAAAGAATAAAATCGAATGAAAGGGGGTAAATGGATTGGCCAGGCTCTAACAAGTAAAGCTCTTAGGATTGAGTGTTGTACACACACATACGCACTCGTATGTGTGTTTGGTACTCGCTTACAATTACAGTAGATTTACAATTCAAAATCCCATATCTGATTGTCAGAAATGCCTCGATTTTCCTTCGATTCGAAATCTAAAATCAGAACAAGGACAAATGTTCTTGGTTTCTATTTGTTTTTAGTTTTGTTTAGTTTTTTTTCCTATGTTTATTTTGCTCTTCTGGTTTTAATGTGGCGCTTACTTTAGCTTTGGCTCTTACGTAACTGTGCTTTTGAGCCGTCAATGAAATACGAGTCCGTTAAGGGTAGGGTCCCCATGGCAACCCACTAAAGACTGTTGCTGTAAGCAATACTCTTAGCTGCTGTTGCTGTTGTTGCTGCTGCTGCTGTTGTTGTAGTTATTGTGTCCTATAATGGCTTTGCTGCCATTTTACTTTCTCTTTTTTTTCTTGTTGTTTTTTTGTATGTAACAGTTCACTTAAACTTTATCTTTTACCAGTTACCGGCACAGAGCAAAAAAAAATGCATTAAGCCATCGCTTTCGGCTACGGAATGGCCTATACCCAACAGCAACATTGCTGATGGGAAAGTGAGGAAAATCTTAAGAAAGTTGGTGAAAATAATGAAGATTTAAGGGGAGAGACAAACCGTACTGTAGCCATGGTAAGCATACACCTAAATACATCAGGAAAATGTCTTAATTGGGAGACGGGAGACTTTCCATGGAAAAACATGTCACATATTTTCTTTAAGCTGCTTTTAAAACTTCTGTAGCAAAAAGGAGCACAATATACCCAATGAATATGGGTCGGCCACAAGCAGTAGCTCTAGCCCGAAGTATCCTAGAGGAAGAATTACCATAATATGCTTTTGCCCACTGCTGTATATGGCTTAGCAGTCGCTGCGGGACTTTTGTTGCTGTTTGTTGCCGCCTGCAGCAACATTGCTAATAAAAGCTTCGACAACAACCAAAATCTGTCAGAGATTAAAGCTTTAAAAAGTTCACGCTCCGGCTTTATGCATGGCATACTAATTCTCAGTCTAATATGCTTTTTATGCCTGCTGGGTATGGCTTAGTTGCTGCTTGGGAATGCTTTTGCTGCTGCCTCCTTCTGCTGCTGCTGCTGCTGCTGCTGTTGTCGTTGTCGTTGCCTTTGCCTGTTGCTGCTGCTGTTGCATCAACACTTTTGCTTTCGCCTGGCACTGAATGCCAAAGTTTCAACCTTTCAGTTTTGCCATTTTAGCTGCCACTTTCCCTGCACCTCACTCTGTTTTACTGCAACATACCGCGCTCAGCCCCCCCCCCTCAGCCCACACTTCGACAGCCAGAAATGGCAGGAGAGTCCATTTCTCTGTTTGTGTCTCTTTCTTAGTTTCCCTTTTGGCCGTCAGTTTACGTAGCTATTTTTCCATCGTACTGCTCCTGCAGTACTGCCGCCTGCAGGCACCCATGCCCATGCCCAGCCCCAGCCCCATCCCCATCCCCATACCATCCTGTCCATTTGCTGTTAGTCTAATTTAATTGCATTCGTGGCTCGTTCTGTTGCTCATTGTTGCCACGTTACGTATACATAGTAGTAGGAGGCAACAGGAGGCAGAGAATGGAGAGCTTTCGAGTGAGATTCCATTGGGGTGTGCAACGTTTCGTTTTTTTTTTGTGCACCCTGACCTGCCCTTTGTCCTTGTTATGCATTGTTTTGTTATCCTCTTAATCCTTATCAGTTGCAATTCCAGTGAAACAGAATAAACAACAAAAACAACAAAACCAACAAAAAGAAAAAAGAAAAAATTCGACAAAAACCTGAAAAAAGAACAACAAAAAAATATTTCAAAACTAACTAAAACTACCGAAGCTCTTGATACCCTGGCAAAAATTCCGTACGTTGAGAGTCGCTGAGATTTATTTATACGATTTTTTTTTGATCTAGTTCAGATATCCTCTCGAAATACGAACTTTTCTGATTGAAATTTGTATTTTTTATGTTCGCTTCAATGAAAACAAAATCTGTGGATATATTTGCAGATTTTGGTAGTTCTCAGGGACTATTTTTCACGCAAAAACAAACCAAGAGAAATTGCAATTCACTGATATAAAGTACTTTGTGGAGCGCTGCTTTTTGCACTGTATTAAAAACAAAAATCAAACGAGAAAAATCGCAATACCCTCTTCAAGGGTATTAAAATCAAACATGGCATAGCTGAGCGTTTTTGCTGACCCTGTTTTGTGTGGGCCACACTTTTACTTTTAGTTTTATTCGCAACAGCAACAGCAAGGTGAACGATTTATCGAATGGTGGCGGTCTGTGGTTTACGCTCTCTCTCTGTCTTTGCTAGCGCCCTCTCGTTCGCTCTTTAAACAAACTGTTGTAATTAATGATACAGAAAATGAAATTCAACACACTCGGAAAAACTTTGCCATAGATTTATTGCCTTGCACTTGAACCGAGCCAGCCATAAATAAATGGTGCCTGAAAATGGGTCTCAGGCTGCTCCTGATTAGCCGAGAGCGTGTTGGTTTTCCTCCAGGTAATTGTAATTGCTGCGGAGTGGGCTTATCCAATTGAATTGTTGGTCATAGCACTTACTCCTCCCAAGGAGTCAGGAGATAGGGATAGAACCAAGGTATGTGGTAACTATTTACAAAAGGCAAAACTTAAGCCACAAGAGATTAAAGGTAATAGTTTGCAAAGCAGAAGAGATTACATCCCACAGAATTACTTTATTCAAATGCCAGAAATGGATTCCCTTTTGCTGAATCTCAAGAATTATTAAAAAAAACTCTTCTCAAATATTTTGAACATTAATCAAGCGATTTAATAGCGCGGTTATATGCTCTCAAACTCAAATTTTAACAAAAAAAGACCCACGAAAATATCTGATATCAAATTCTATAGCCAAATATTAATTATACCAACTATCATTAATTACGAAACTAAATTGACATGATATGCGAAAAGTTCTTATCTCCTGTTATACCCTACAATGTGGGTGAAAGACCACGCTCAAAGTGAAAAGGCATTCAAAAGACTCGCTGTAATGTGCCTCAAAAGGATGACAACTTTTTTCGGTTGCACAAAGTTCATGAAATTGCTTGGAAAAAAAAGAGTTAAGCAAAGGAGAAAAGCAAAGAGCAGAAAGAAGAATGAAATACATAAAACGCAAAGGAGATAATGGAAAGTTTTTTTCTGAATGAAGAGCGGAAGCTTAACCCTGAACTATTTTTCATTTAAAACATTTGCTAACAAAAAGAAAGCCTTTACTCGCTGCTCGTTATTATACTCTCTTTAAGCATACAATATTATTTACATTAAAGGATTAAGTTTGCTGGTATCGTTCGCTGCATTAATAGGGAATCATCCAAAAATGTTCAAAACAATTAAAACTTTTTGGCTAAAAAAAGTTGTTAGCAGTGTAATATTTTTCTGGAATAAGGATATCATACCAAGGAGAGCAAAAAGTGCTCAAAGATAGTTTTAAAATAAAATAAAAATGAAAATACGCTGCTTTATTTTCTTTGAATATTAAAATAGAATATCGAAACCTAATGTCAAAAAATCCAGCAAAATATAAAATTAGTTTGTGTATTTAATGTTTCTTAAAGAGCAGCGAAAACTTTACTCTACATAAACTATTTTTAGATGGCGAAAAATCCGCAGCCAAGGAAACGAAAAATTTCCCATGATTTCCCACAGCTTTTATGTTCAATGCACAGACCGCAGGGAGTCAATCAATAAAATTCCTTTTAATATTGAAGAAGAAAAAAAACGCACAAGCACCTGTTCGGGCAGTCATAAAAAATGAGCTCCAAAAACGATACGAATAATGATTCATAAAAATAACAACCTTTTTGTGGAAAACAGTTTATAAAATTGAATTGTTTGGAATGGAATAGAAAGCAATGGAAACAGCTTCAATTTAAGCGTTGAACCTTTAACCAAAAATGAAAGATAGTTTCAGGTGGGGAAACTTCAGTCGCTCTTCGTTGGATAAGTTATGAAGACCACTGCCAAAAATAAAACTTACTTTGGCCAAGCATTTTCACCTGCCCGCCCAGTCGTATTCCCCATGGGGAGACTCCCGAGAGTCAATCAATAAAGTTCCCTTTAATAGTACCTGCCCAGGCAGTCGTAAAAAACGTTCCAAAAACGATATGAAATATATTCTTCATAAAGATTAAAACCAGCTTCTTTTTCGTATGTGCGTGTGCGTCTTGTCCCTGTGGCAGATGCAGCAGCAGCAGCAGTAGCAGGAATTTTCCACAGAGCAGAGCGGCCGTGCTCAGCCTGGCAACATTTTATTATCCTTGGATGCCGAGGCACACAGACCACAAAGTGTGCGGGCAACAGCTTGGGGGAAGCCTTATGCAGGATACCTATGTGCGGAGCCCTAGCATATTCCAAGTCAGAGTCAGGGAGTCAGGGAGTCGGGAGTCTATGGGTAAGCGGATTTCCCCAGATGAAGGAACCAAGGGGAACCAAGGCACACCAACAAGGAGCCAGCAGCACCCAGGACTGTCTGTCAATAAGCCTTATTCTACAAGATTTCATCTCTCATACCCGTATGAGAATGTGTGGTATATGTCCTTGTCCTTGTCGTTGTTCCCCCTCTTTAGGCTGATGGTGAGGTTGCGTGTGCTTTTGTGCTTGCCAAAGCTTTTCACAGGCGCGTGTTTATGAATTATTAGCATAAACAATCACACAGATGCTCACAAACACTCACAGACAGACGGCCCACATAGCAGCATGTGGGGGGGGGCACTGTACAAATTTTGATTAAATGTAATGCGCTCAAAGCGCATTCACAGTTTCGATTGAATTATTAATGGGCCGAGCTGAGCCGAGCGGAGCCGGGCTGGGACTGGGACTGGCTCATTAGCCAGAAAGTAGCCGAAAACTGGCCACCAACAATTATGTCCATTATTCAGAACCATATCCCTGGCTTGTCCTCTCTGCGCTAAGCCTTCAATGGGCTCAGCCCTGCTCATATTATGTGTGTTCACACTCCATTAGTGATCGAACTACGTGGCGTAAAATTCATGCAGCATTTTGGGTGCTTAAATTCTTTGGCTTAAATTTTGCGTGCGGTTATTCCTGCCCCCTTGAGATGGAAAGCAACTTTTACCCTTGAGGGTAGAAGGAGCATCAACGATGCAAAGAAAAAAAGCATTTCCCTTTTTTTACATTATTTATTCGACCCTTGACAGCCTTTTCATATATATTTCATACTCTTTTTTTTTTGTATTTTACATTTTCATCTTCGTGCTGAAGCATTTTAATTTTCAACGAGAAAACTTCGCTGTAAAAAGGAAGCGGCAAGAAGAGACCGACCTGGCCCTCAGCATGGGCTTGGGCTAACCTTCGAGGAGAGCTTTGTGTCAGTGGCAAGTTTGATTGATTGGTGGCAGGACAAGGAGCCAGAGAAAACAACCAGCAAGCCAGCCAACCAGCAACCGCCCAAAAGTCAGGTGAATAGTCAGGTGTCAATCGTAAGCCGCTTTCGAAGGGTCTTCTGCCGAAAAACAAAAGCAGAACAAAGGCTTTTCCGTGACATTTTCAAGATGCATGGCCATGTAAATGAGATTGTTGTCAGCCTGGTACTGCTGGCTGCTGGCTACTGGCTGCTGGCACTGGTACTGCTACCAGCGTACGTATTGCCTGCCATTTTTAATTGGCTTATAAGTCAAGAGCCGTAAAATGGAATTATTGCCAAGCCGCGGAGGGCGGGCGACAGGCGACAGGCGACCAGCAAACAATTCGTTGTTTGGGTAATTGCCAAAGTGTGTTTAAAAATGCTTAAATTCTGTTTGCCTAATTAAACCAGAGATTTTCATGAAAAGTACATCAGAAAAGAGTTCCCTGGAAATGTTGTAATTTCTCTTTTTAAGCTCATTTCATTGGAAACTTCTGAAGGGTTTCGTTTGTAATTTCATTGACATATTTAAAATTGTTTGGAAAAATTCCTTAAGTTCATTTTTGTTTTCATTCCGGAATGTTTTACGGCGAAATATTTAATTAGGATTGTGCTGTTTGAGTGACTTAAAAGTGCTTCAAATTTAATTTAAAATTGAGGAATATTCGCAGTCACATTTAATGGAATGTGCTGTGCTGAAAGGTTTCTCTTTCATTGGCATATGTCAGGTGGAATTGTTGAATTTACATTTTGTTCAGCTTAAAAGTTTTATTGGTGTATTTTTGATTTAAAAAGTGCCCAAAAGCTGCGTTTACTGTGCCTAAAAAGCTGTCTCTAATCAACATTAAATTGAAGCCATTATAGAGCAGAGAAAAACCTTCGAAGGCCCTATCTTTCATGGCCATATTGCAAGTTTTTGAATAGTTGCAACTCTTTTTGTTGGCTCAGCTTAAAAGTGTGCTATGAAAAATTTAATTATGTTTCACTTTGAGTCCTGAAAGTGTTTGAAACCAACCAACATTTGCGGTGCTCAAACACAGACTGCAGCTACAGTTTGGTGTAGCACTTTGCCAGCAAGCTAATCCATGGTCTGTCCTCTCTCCCTGCTCCCTGCTTCGCCCCGCTCCGCCCCGCACCCTAACCGCTCAGCAAACCAAACAAACCGGAACCAAAGCCAGAGCCAGAACACTTTTCTGCACTTGTTTACGGCCCAAAGCGGCGGCATTAAAGCCATGCCATCAACGTGGAAGCTTCATTGCATGTTTGGGCCACATTTTGGCCTAGGCCTAGAGCGCACACACACACACACACACACTTACTCTCCATTACACTCACACGTATGGCAAAGGGGCCAAAAGTAAATTGCTTGACGATTTTCGCGTCATTTTTCTGGCCTCCGCTGGGGCATAACCCCAGCACTTGCACACCGCATGCTGTCTGCACGGTTGGCTGGGCATAAATCACACCAAAGTAGGAATAAATGTTCAATGTTTGTTTGAATGGGGATTTACCACATTTTTAGTTGCATGCTATGCTCCGCATACTTCTAACCATAACTAGGGTTGAGAGCGGGACAGAGGTGTTGTTTGTGATTGGTTTGGGGGGGTTTTTTTTGGGTGCCTTGCAATCGACAGTTTATTTATTCATTTTGACAGTTTTATGGACACGCACGAACGAATCACCGATTAGGGTGCTTAATTTCATGGTTAATCCGCTACAAATGTCATCTGTCAATGCGATATAAATACAAACAATATACAATATACAATGGCTTAGAGTAATACCCACACACACACACAAGCACACACTCTATTGACTATAGCACACACCCCACAGCAATCCACTGTAAGCCGCTAATTGCAGTTGCATGTCTGTTGTATCTTAAATATGCAGAAATCCAGGCGTAAATTTGTCAATTGACAATTGACAATTGGAATTGGTATTCTATGCGGCTGACATTTGACACAGTTCGTTATTGTTGTATGTTTGTTGATTGACAATGACAGCGGCGCCAGTTGATGATTGAGGCGGAAGCAAAGGGAGTGGAAGGGGGGGAAATGTTGTTGGCCATGTTTTGTGGCACCCTTACACACACACCCTTACACCCACACGCACTCGTGCAAACAGCTACACGACACAAAAAACACTGATGGAAGGGAAGGGAAGGGAAGGAGAGACACAACACAATTGATGACAATCGACATTGTTCATGAATATTTAAATTCCTATTGTTGTTTAGGCTGCGGTTGGTTACCCGCACTGCGAAAACCCTTTTGCTCTTATTGCCAAAAAAAACTTCTCCTCCGCTCTACTCCACTGCTAACCACTAACCCGGCCCCGGCCACGGTCCCGGCCCCGGCTCTTCGTTTATTTCGTTAACGCGTTTGCCGTTGGTTTTCCTTCTGTGCTGCTGGGACGGCTCGGCTGTTAAATTACGTTCTGCTGATGGAAAACTCGCGTTTATTTTTGGGGTCTGGTCTCGCCATTTACCGTTCGTTCTCTTGGCACGTGTCGCACTTCCGCAGCCCCTGAATGCCGTTACAATACTGCTTGCACGAGGTTATGGTCGGAGATCGCGAAGTCTCCCTTCTTCGAGGCACGCTACATTGTACGAGGCGGCACGAACACCGCACCGGACCCCCAACGAGGACTCGCACACCAAGCAACAGAGCCGAAGTCATGTCTGAGCTTTTGTGCGGAGACGAGACTTTTTCGCCGCACTCCGAATGTGAGTGAAAGCTGCGCCAAGAGACGACAGGGGAAATAAAAACATTCCCCTGATGTGGGTGGAGCTTTAGGGGGGTTGAATATATTTAACATTCAACTGCTGACACTTTCAGGGGTAAGGTAAACATTTTCTTTTGGCTTTTCATTAGTTCTGCAATTTATTTTATAATGTTAAAGCGTTCTACTATTTACATATGATGCTTACACGCATTACTGCTTGATTCTTTCTTTGTTTAGTCGCTCTTAACTTTAATGCACATTAATGTGAATTTTTTATTTTATTTTATTATTTATTTATTATTTTTATTTATTATTATTTTATTTTATTATATAATATATATAATATATATATAATATATAAATAATAATACCGATTTATTATTTTTTATATCCGAAATCAAACATGGGTCCACCGGGAACTGAGTAGCTCATTTCGGGCGTGTACCCGTCTACTGCTCCCTGACCAGCTAGGGGCGTTTAATGACTCATTAAAAATAATTTAAATTCCCTCTTTTGGCTCCACTTACCAGCTCAAAGTTGTCAGCCTGATCCTTGGAGCTGGGGCGCTGCCGCTTCAACTTGATGGTCCGCTCCAGGGGCACGTAGTAGTAGGCGTCCGTGAATCTGGTCACCGCCAGTAGCTCCCCGCGCTCATTGCTCTCCGCAGTGTGGTCCACCGTGAAGCGCTGATCCGAGACAAAGGTACGCGACCCTCCGAAGGGACTCAGAGCTCGACTTGGGTCGGCCACAAAGTTCACTATGGAGGCGCCACAATCGCGCATGACTGTCTGCGTGGAAACTGCCCTTGGGGCCACATCGAAGTGAATATCCACAAAATTATTTCCGGTCTGCTCCTCGTCTGGGAGCAGGTCAAACTCCGCCACCAGATGGACATTTTTCTTTGGTTTGGGCGCCACCTGAACGTCCTCAAAGGTCTGGTTGATCAGCCGTGTCTGCTCCTCCTGGCTGAGAGCCTCCAACTCCTTGGACTCCTGCCCCTCCGCTGGTCGAGTTTTTAGGGGCGCGCGTGGGCGTGGCACCGGGTCTCGTTCCTTGGCGAACATTTGGGCACACTCCCTGTCGCGGCTGGGCGTGGCCCCGATGTCCGCCAGCAGATCAGCCTCCTCGGGATTCAGTTGCTTCTTCTTCAAGCGCCGTCTGCCGAACTTGCGAGTGATCAGATCCACATCCAGGATATCCTCCAGCCCCTCGAAGTGGTGGTCGTACTGGGCCTCCACCTCCGGGAAGGTGACAATTTCCTTGGCGTACTCTTCGAGGGCTTTGCCGCAAGGCAGAAACTTAAGGCCCTCGTCGGGATCTGGCAAACTGACTCGGTACACCGCCGTAGAGATGAAATGATTCCTAATGCAGATAAGCGTAGATAAGCATAGATTATATATCGGATCATCCTGCACAATTTTCTACTTACTCTTTGGCAATTTTCCTCTTGGGTTTTTCCGTTTTTTTAGGAGACATTTTTGTCGCTTTTTTTGCTTTTCCGCTGCTTTGTCAAGAGTTTTTCTAGCTTAGTTTTCTTTCCTATTGCCGTCTGATAGTTGACAGGGGAACGTAGTGTTGGTCAAGAGATTATTGTATCCCTATATTAAACGCCATATTGTATAGATGGAAGCATGCGATACACATAATAGTATTTTTATATCCCAGTACTCAGACGATATACGTTTAGCATAGTTTAAGACAGGAGATAATTTTGGCATAAAACCAATAAGAAATCACTATTTTGAGCTGTTAATGCTTTCTCGTTAGGTGACACTGGACTTAATATTTAAATATTTAAAATACCTTAAACTGTTGCAATATAGTCTAAAAAAACTACCCTTCTTGAATTTCCTTTTGGGGATATTTCAAAAGTTTATATTCCCTGATTCAACTGCTTGAACTTACGAACTAAATGGCAGCTTGAATTTCCCTTTAATTTCATATGTCCCTTTTTCGATGTTTTCTATGGTGCATTTTAGTATCAAAACTGCTTGATTTTGCCCAACGTTCACTGCTTGCTTTTAGTGCCAAAACATCCCTTATATGTATATATTGCCCGCCAGATAATATCCCTTGATGGTATGCTGTATAATGTTATGCTGATTTTGTTAACAGACTGTAAGAATCGACTGTTAAGGCTGCACCTAACATTTTCCATATATGTATGTAATATGTAATATTATGAGCTTTTGGTTGGGGTATTATTTCCCCTTCAAATTTTGGCATTCGGAGTAAATAATTCTTAAAAAATGTTTTACGATACATTTTAAAATTTAATATGTTTAAAAGCTTAAACTTATACATTTGTATATGTATAAAAAAAATATAATAATAAAATCAACATAAATATCACTTTATGGTTCATTATGATTATTCAATTAAAGAAAACATTTCCGCTAATTTAATTAGCATTTTGTTGTGAATAATAATTCTGTCGTTTAATAAACGTGCATTGGGAGTAGCTGAATAATTGAGGTGTGCCCCAAAATGTCCATGAACTTGTTATGTATTTTTGTGTGACAAAATCAAAATGCTTATGCACTAAATATTTGATAATTGATTGCATTTAGAGCTTAATCAATTTAAACCACCAATTTGCGTTGAGGTGTTCATGCATACATATACATACATTCACAGGCACATACATATAAAGATATGTAGATAACTAACATATGTACATATGTACTACTACCTCCATAAATATTCCACCCCACCCACTTTCTACACTTCCATTCCCTCGCATCCCTTTCTACACGTACTCCTATCCATCTCCCATCATTCCATTGACATTTGCCATTCGTCAGAGTGAAAGTCCCGCTATCTCCTCGCTCGTTCCGCGGTTGATGCTACTGTCATGTACCTTCCCAGCACCACCACTCACACTCACACTCACACTCCTGCCGCTGCCGCTGCCGCCACCACTACCCACTTTCACTCTCTATCTCGCTCTCCCTCAAGGTGAACTCAATTGAATTCTCAACATTTGCACATCAATTATTTCACAAGTGAGCTTTTTTTATGGCGCCAATGCGGAACATAGAAAAAAATTGCACTGAAAAAACTGCTCAAAAAAAAAGGGGGGTGAAAAAAAGTGAAATAAATCCTGACGTTGCCGTCGGTGGAAATCAGTGAGCCAAACACTTCAGTGGCTCCTGGATGCAGCCTGCAGACATATCCATGCTCATCCTTCTGCTGATGATCATGGACCCCATCTCCTAGTCATGCCACTGCCACATCTCTGGATGCAACTCCCTCTACATTGCCTCACCTGCTCCATCTTCGTCCCACACTTCAACCTGGCGCTGGCACACCATTGCCATGCACTCTACTGCATAACAGATTCAATGTCAAAAATTTGACAAACTCAACACCAAGCGAAACCCAAAACAAGAACATTAAACCAAGAACAACAGCAAATTTTCCAGAGATTTTCGCTGACGAATTTGTGGCAGGTTCATAAATCCACGAGACCAGCAACTAGCAGGAGCAAGAAGCATCGCCATAGCGAACAAGCAAACAACAACAAGAAAATGCATTAAAAAATCATACAAAACAAAAAACAAAACAAAACAAAAAAGTAGCCAAACAATCGCATGACTAAAAAAAAGTTAGAAAGAAAACTGCAGATGATGGCTAAAGCAAAAACTTGCATACACTTTCAGATCGAAGCAAAAGAAATAACGAATTTTATTTCGAAATAAAAAAAAAGATAATGCATCTGAATAGTTTGAAAGTTTTTGATTATGTCAAATAATTGTCATACATTTTCTAAACTTAAAGAGAACACTATTAGACTTAGACTATTACTATTCTGAATAACAAAAATAATTAAATAAATAAATAAAGAGAACGCTTAGTTTAGTATACAAAATCAGGATTTTTTTCATATGATAGCTTGATGTTAATATTCAGATATAGAACTTTTAGAGCTTCCATACAATCATTTGCTTGGATTATTTAGAAAACCAATCATATTTTATGATTATTTAATGTATTCAGTTTACACAAAAATATTTAGCTGACAAGCAGAAAGCCACATCTATTTTTGTTACGCAATACTAAAAATCAATATATGTCTAGTACATATATTTTTTAACGTTGAGTCACTCTCTTTCCGAGTTATAATCTTTCTCACAAAAATACGTTTATATAATTATAATATCATTTTCAAAGTGTATCTAAGGAAAGAATAATATGTCATAAAAAAGTAAAATTTTTGGCGCCAAAAACTAACAGAGAAAGAGACAGTAGAACGAGAGAACGCGCGAAAGCGAGAGCCAGCCAAAAGAAAGCGCGAGGAAAAATGCCAAACAAATCGTAGCAGTGGAAACCCAACACAGAAGTCGCCTTCAAAAATTTATTCAGTCAGCGTCGAAGTTCATTTGAGTGTCATAAATCAGTGGTACTCCCAGCAGCTGAACCCACCCACTAAAAACCACCCACGGAAGTGGGCATAGCGAGAGGTGGGGTGGCAGTGGATGGGGGTGGGGTGTAAGATGGGGAATACAGCGAGCGGGGCATATAAATGACAACTTTGACTATTGGCTGCCATTGCACGTACAACAAACTGCAGCTTGGGCACGATTCAACTACGTAGATGTTGCCATGGCCCTGGCATATTTGTGCAGCAGGAGCACAGGATGAGCACAGACGAGTGGGGGGAACAGAGGAGCAGGGAAGCAGGAGGGGCAGGAGCAGGAGCAGGAGCCGTAGCAAAGGAAAATATTTTCGAAATCGTTGGAGCCAAATGTCAGGAGAAATCTTTGCCAGAGCACATACACAAAAACATTCCTTAAGCGGGTGGCGAGACAGAGAGAGAGAGAAAAAGTGGAGCGAAGGAACGTGAAGGAAAAACCATTTCCCCCATCGACTTTATAAAACATTTTCTTCGTTATAAATCAATTTGAATTGCGCGAGCAGCTTAAACGACAAACGATTTGGACGACCAGAAACAGCAACCAGCAAAAAAAAAAAGCCAAAAAACTCCCCAGAAGCAGAAGCTGAACCAAACCAAAGAATCAGACCAAGCCCAGACCAAACCAGAAAACCAGAGAGTGGGAGAGGGGTTCTAGTTCCCCACAGCCCAAAAAACCAGGGTATGCGTTAAAGCAGAAAATTCTGTTTATTTAGGCAATTTGTTGGGAGAACACTGCTCCACTGGCTACTGTGAAAAGGCGAATTTGAAAGTGGTGGTGGGGCAGCTAAAAGGCCAAGAGTTTGCTTAGAATATTTTGAAAGATTACAAATATCCTTAGCTCATTAAATTAAATAATGTTTGTACTTAACAATGAAGTTCGAGCTTAATGATTTATAGTGACAGCCTCTTTAGGGCTCATATTTCTTGTTCTGTTCTGTTGTGTGCTGCTTCAGCCAGGACGACACATTTATTAATCTAAGTCCATAAATAAATCTACATATGTGGATACTTGCTGTGGCTGCTAATTATGAATAAATTACTCATATTAAATTATCAACAAATTATTACACTTAACAGGTTTTACAACAATTTATTCATGATTCTGTAATTTGCATACATTTTCATGACTCATATGCATAATTTGGAGTACGCTCAATAAACTGAGGAATAGAGAAATAGAGAGAAATATTTTTGGTAAATTCTCAAAGTTTTAGTTCCACAAATAATTAAAAATTTTTCTCTTTGAAAGGAGTTCATATGATACGGACATCTTTGCAGGTAGCTAAATACTCTGATATATGCATTGATTTTCTAGTACCTCCTCTTCTATATAAAGCCATACAATTATATGATTTCAGCGAGTTTATTTACAGATTTAAAGGAAATAAAACTTTATTCATTTGAAAAAACTTTTAATTGATTTAAAAGAATTTAAAAATCAACCAACTGAATGGTATTCCTCAGACAAAGTAGAATTCACTATGTATCAACACAAATCAATCTAAACTGTTCCTTTTAAATTTCTTGCCATTTCATAGCAATCAAAACTTTAAACAAAATAATTCTCCTCAGGCAGGGAAAATAGAAAATGAAAATCTAAGCGAAGCAATCCACCAAAATCCCAGCATTCAGTTTGCCGCCACACTCTACAGCCACCGGCAGAGGCAGGCACTTGCTTATGTTAAACAATCCACCAAAAACTTGACATCAAATTTGTATGAGGATAAGGATATTCTGTCCCATCAAGCATATCAACCATCCCACCACCCTGCTCTCCATTCCATGACACCCTTCATGGCCCATCTCTCTTTCAGCTGCTGCTGCTGTTGCTGCTGCAAATGAAGCGCTAAATCTGCAAGTGTCAAGCACAGGAGCTGCAACAGCAACAGCAGCAGCAGCAGGAGCAGCATCAGAGAACAACAACGGCAGCGGCAGCAGCAGCAACAACAACAACAACAGCAGCCACAGCGGCATTCAACCCAAAAGAGAATACTCTTTTTATCTTTTTGTATCCATTTTATTACAGTCGCTTTTCCCATGCACTCTCTGGGGGTATTGT